GGATGACCGAGCAAATCCATCGCCGCCAAGCTAACCAACTTTACGTGGTGATACCCAGCCCAGAAAGAACATTTTTTCCTATCATCCAGGCAACAGCTGTCCACATATCTAATATAAAGGAAGAAGTGTGGAGGGATAAAATCTGTGTATCTTGCCAATAGACCAATCACGAGGTGGGCGTAGGTGTAAGGCGCCAATTTGGTGGAGGAGAGGTCACCTGTTTTGTGGGTCAACCCGCCGTGAATTATGCGTGCGATGATACATCGGCCCGATGCGCTTGACCTGAGTGTGAGTCCCTAAGTGTAAAGAAAGTAAGAAAAACCACACAAAATCCAACGACTTATGTCATAATTTCAAAAAATGGGATTAAAATTGACGCCATAACTGAGCGGCTAAAATAACACCATCACCCACAAGGTTTTGCTTGTTAACAACTATTTTGCTGTCCCATTTATAAGCAATTTCACGTGACTACCTCAAATTAATAAAAAACAAAAGCAAAATCATCCAGTTGAAGGATCCTATTCGCGGTGCCAGATTCTCACAATTACCAAAAAAGAGAGAAATGGGGGCTTTGAGCGGTGGAAGTAGATCTGCCACAACTGTGATAGGTGATCCCAGTAGAGTGGGCAACTTCAATCCAACCTCAAGACTGCAAGGGGTGAGAGTCAGGTAGAACGCTGCCTCGGCTACAGGTTGATCGGACTTATGCCCATGCTGCGAGTCGGCATTGAATTCACACCAGATTTTCTTGCAAAGGACAGGCCACAAATGCAATTGTGAGGGTCGGATTGACAAAAGTGAACGGCCGCGTCTGAGACGAATAGACTTGTGAAGTAGCTGGTGAAGTTGAAGTTGGGAGCAAATTCCGCAAGGCAGTGAGCAGCGAGTCGACGAATGCGAAGCGCACAGGCGCCTGGCATTCGACCACACGGGTTTGGTGTGGGATGGGGAGGGGGGAAATTTCATCCTGGCATCCTGTTAGGCCCAACGAGTGGAAAAATGCAAGCGAAGGAAGTCGTTCTTAATTTATCCTCCTCCTACCTACCTAGGGTAGGGCGGCCTCAAGGGTAGCAACTCTTGAAGTAGAAAAGGGTGATTAGATAGAGCTTCACACGGAGGGAGGAGGAAAGTGGGGGCCGTCTTGAGGAACAAGTTTTCAATGCGTTTCGATGAGTGCTCGCTTATCTTTAGCACTGCAGTCACATTCATGAGTCATTTCGCAGCAGTGATTCACCGAAATAGAGATAAAAAATAGGCCTTTGTGATAAATAATTTAACTTGATGTTTTGGGACCTATGGATAAGACCATATTCACCTTCTGCGCAAGCAAAGTTCCACTAGTCACATTTTTCGGCCGAATTTTAAACAACTATAGCCATTTAATCTTGCTTATCACTTATTAATGTTTTAGTTTATCTTTAAACCGCGTGCTTTTCCCTTAAGCCTGCAATAAATGTCATGATTGAGCGCGTTCCCCCTTTTTTGGCGCGGTGAAATTCACAGATCCACAAACCGATTCGCCTGGCAACGAAATTACCAAGGCCGTCTAAATAAACAAATTTATGGCCAAAAATTTATCCGCCTACTCTATTTACTTGTTCAACAGGATTTCTTTAAAATGTCAATAGATAAAGCAAGCAGATTATTTCTGATAGGCAAATGAATTTCTTTGTCGAAAATAACTCAAAAATTCTATGGTTGTATTTGAGTGCCCCATTTAAAAGGGCAAAATAAACCATTTCGGTAGAGCTTAATCTGCTGTTTTTCGATTTAATTCCAATCTTGACGAGTTTGCAGACCTGACGCAGTCATTTGTGTTGAGAATGATTTATTAAAGTCTACTTTTCCCAGCCCTGGAGATAGATGGGTTATTCTGCGATTTGGGGCAACTTTAAATAGGCATTGCTACTCCATTCATGGAGACCAATTCCCATGCCGCTCACACAGCAGTGACTCGAAATTTGGCTGCAAAAAAGAGCTGGACATAAAAGGGGATCTTTTTGCCCCCAACATGAATAGCGTGCCAGAATCAGCCAGCTCCGGAGCGAGTGCCCCAGTGGAATTTTATCAAAGCCAAAAAGCATCACAGACAGGGATTCTACCGAATGTTGTCGGATAGAAAAAACTGTGCACCTACTACCTTTGAAATTCGCAATCGCACAGCCCAATTCCGACATCCACCCAGGGCGACTTGTTTCAGACAAATTCTGGCTTAGATCGTATAAATTGCGAAAAGTACACTCGGCAAACTGGAACGTAGACGTCGGATGCTAAAATAAGTGACGCTCCATTTAGATATTTCAATCCACCATCAAACAAACGTTTTCCTACAAGCTAAGTAAAACTTAAATTTGCCTTTTAATGTAGCCGTGATGATTTATTCCCCTAGCTTTGCTTTTAGTAAACAGATTGACTTTTCCAAGTATATATATTGCAAAAGGCTACATGGTTTGTAAGAGTTAATTTGTGTAAAAAATATTTCAGCTCGTATCACTCGTACCCAAAACAAGTAGATTTGGTGAATCAGACTCCAAAAACCATAAAAATCTGTCGTGCTCAGAACTGATGAAAGGCTTGTGGATAAAATATTTCGTGTAAGAAAAATTACTTTAATTCACTTCCCTCCTCACAATCTCCTGAAAGAAGTATTGCAAAAAGGAGGAGGATTTTGAATGCACTGGGTGTAACAGAGACGACTGCCATCGGGTAGGCGCTACACGCCCCATTCACTTACAGTGTCCAGCGTCTCCCTGCGCCCCCCTCCGCTCACTCAGGACTAAGTGCTGGCAGAGGGGAGTACCAGGTACGGGGCGGGGGTGAAGCTGTCGTTTAGTCAAAGTGGAAGATTGCATCTCCCTCTCTTCCCCCCCTCCTTCCCCCTAATTACGTCTACGACGGTAGATAGATTGTTTGTTTATTTGTTCATCATCATCAATTACTTTTAAGTGAGATCTTGAGAAGTGCATTTAAACAAAAGAAGAATCGCTACTTACTCCTTTTTATTCCAGAACTGGATATATTTTTTTCGCCGATTTTTAGGAATTTTTTAAATTTTAGGCTAGTATAAAAGCCGGAAGTATTTGTGGCGATAAATCCATGAAGATGTGGTGGGGCGATTTGGTCTGTTGCAGTACTTCCGGTGAAGAAGAGGCGGAGCTTAGGGGGCAAGGGGAGGGAAGAGGAAGGCGGCAGGTGACACTCAACGCTTCATGCGATTTGAAAAGCTTAAACGCCAGTCCTCTCAGAGCATGCAATAAGATATTTTGGTTAAAAAAATCGCCCACATCATCTACGCCACGCGGAGAGCAAAAGCACAGGAAATCTGTTCAAATCTGACGCCACTAACGAAGAATTTAATACAGAGAAATAAAAAAAAAACTTTGAAGGTATAGGACACAGGAGACATACTAGGGCTTCGCCTTTGGCCTTCCTGACCTCCACAAAGCGCACATTTGAGCGATGGTGAGAGGCCCTCTCGACGGGGCGTTGATGCAAATTGCTGCTGTTGACGACGAGGTGGCTGTTATGGCAACAGGGGACAGTGAGAGCGGCATGGCATCTTTCGCATCGGTGAATGTGTGGGGCGCCTTCCAAGTCGGTGTGGTTATTGCTGTTAAATCCAGAGTGCATTAGAACAGCCTCCACCGGTGGAGATGGCGGCGCCCCTTAGGCATGTATAAATAAAGTCCAGATCAAGGTTCGTCGGCCCCTCTACACCCGTTTACGTCTTCCCTGAGAGCAAGTGCCCCTGTCAAATGACACATTAAATTTTCAGCCTCCGACAGGCACGCCAACCCTCAAGAGGCCGGGAAAAATTTGTATCGAATGGGCTGCCACTGTGCTGGTAAAAGGGCATCGCGTTTGAACCAGCCGCGTTGATTGGGCTAGCCAATAGAGAGGGAGCGCACACGTCTGCACCCCCCAACCACCAATCAGAACGCGCTTTGTCACGTGCTGCCGTCTATAGGCTACAGGTTATCGATTGGTGGATAAGCCCGAGGCAATAATGGGTCATAAATTCCGCTCACTTTTTGATCGTATATAAACCCTGGTGATGAATTTCTTTAAGTGAAAACAAAAGGTGCAAAAGTTTTTTAGTCCTAATTTTAGTACCTGGTAATAAAAGTATTTATTTTGCGTGCCAATATTAATAATTCTTTCCCAGGGGACGAGATAATCAGGAGTTGCATGAGGAGGACAGTTTTACGTTTGCGTAGGTAGGGATAATTACTAAAGGAAGTTTTTACCCATCACGGATATATATATCTACATGCACATCAAGGTCGTAGGTGAATTCCTCTTGAATTTGGCAACTACTATTCATGGATAACATGTTTCCACACTTTTTCTCAACCCCGCCTGCGATTCGCCTATTCACTTCTTCGTTGTCTTATTTTTTTCCCTTTCTTCCTTTTGAGGAATTTTCTATTATAGGGAACTTTGAGCTATTAAAAAAATGTAAAGCAAAATTGACACTTGACCTAGAGGTAACCAATGCCGAGGGGGACACCTTGGAAGCGGCCAATCAAACAGCAGTGCAGATTTCAACTAATTGGATAAGTTGGATATCTAATTTTTCCTTAATGAACGATATATTTCGCATCTAAAAAACAGGAAATTTTCGTGCTTGCGTGCATGTCTGTTAATGGAACTGTTGATTGGGATGTAAATATTGCTTCACGCTCACTTCAGAGCGATGAGGGCACTTCGCGCCATAATTAAGTGTTATGGAGGGCGTGCGCCGGTGTAAAGCCATGATCAGTGCACTGTGCTGAGCACTTATATTTCTCACAAATGGCTAAGATACTAAAAAATAGGTGACTTTGTCTATTTTCGACAGTGGACGCATTTGCGCCCTCTCTGTCGCAGTTTATCCCAACTCCGTTAAGACAATCTACTTCGCATTAAGTGTGGACTTACAGGGGATCCCTCTTTTCTCATTCCAGTGTCACCGCATATCCAGTCCTTCCCCACTTCCACGCCTTGATGTCGTTGGGATTACTCGACAAAGAAAGGTAAATCAATGCTACGTTTCGTCCTGTCACCGGACGTTTTGGGAGTGGCAAGAAATCTCCTCCTTTCTTCCTCCATATCTCCTCTGGTGAATACTTGTCTCTGTGTGGACATAGAGACCTGATCTTAAACGTCAAAAGGAGGAGAATGGCATCTTATTTATGGCAGTACATGACGTAGGTCTGGTCGGTTTGTTCTGTTAATCACACTTAAACAGGACGAATGCCTTTTAAGGGAGATATTACCAGTCTGGACAATGCTCGTCAGACACTGCCTTGTGTATGTCCGTCGTTTTTTGCTATAACATTTACCCCCAAAAGCTACACTCGGGAAGGCAGCATCATCTTGTCAGCCCATAGTAATAAATTATTTTGTAGGAGGGAAAACCGAGTACAGGCTTCTTCTTGAGGTCGGTGGCGATTTGTCTAAAAGTGGAATTGAGGATACTTGCCAAACGGCGGCAGTGTTTGCCTCCCCGCTAGTGATTTGCCACCGATTTTAACTAACCTCAGCAACCGTATTCATTTTCTAGGTAGCAGAATGAATTAAGCCATCATTTAATCAGTTATCAGTCAGGACGGTTTAACCCGCATTTGACATGGTCAAGTCAGTCCTCCTGTACTTCATTTGAGCCGCTATCTGATACTTCGAGGTCGTGGTGACGTCGGATGTCTACAGACATGTATCTCCTTCTTGCAGAGTAACAAGTGCCAGGGGTTACTCAGGAGATGTTAAGGTCAAGTTCCATGGCTTCGTCAAGGACTCCGAAAACTAGCTCAGGGTGACAGCATGTGGTGGACAAATCAGGGGCAATTCCTGACCCCCTACTGTTGACCTTCCACACCACCATTAGCTATTCCCCCCTTTTTATCTTCGGGAATTTTCTCTCTCCTCATTGATAGTAAACTTGTCAATGCAAAACTATTTATTGGTTTTGAAACGAGCCAATTTATTAAGTAGTAATGATGTGGTAAAATAAACTATTAAAATTCGTCTAGCCAATGAGCTTAACTGACCTTGACGTAATCTGCGATTTGATTGGCTCATCGCTTCGCTAATGTTTGTGCAGATTGTATTAACATCCTGTTTCAGCCTTTGTGAGACCCACCAGTATTCTTGAAGTTTAATTATTAACGTCCTAAAGGCGTCTATACACCGCTCCGAAGGAAGTAAAAACAACAAAGCGATACTTTTCTAGACGAATGTCGTGCCAGATTTATTCCTTCCTAAGCGGGACGCTACTTATAATCCACCTCTCCTCACCCATCCGGACCCCTTTCTATATACAGCTGTTTTAGTGCTTTAACAATGTGGAGGCACAAAGGATATCTTGTTTTAGTAATATCCGACATAAGGCGAATCGTAATCCGTGTCACATATATGTGACAGTAGGTCCTTTTACCGTTGACACCTAAAAGGAGCATTTGGAGATGTCTGAGGCTATCCGACGCGGAAGTTTCCTCTTCCTTTTGGAGTAGAATGAAAGGAAAGCCTTGGAGAAGCTAAGCATGTCATGACCTGGAGGAGGGAGGAAATCGCCAGACCGCTGAGCATAGCCTAAGGTGATACGAGTAACGTCAAGAAGGAGGGGAAAAGTCCCTTTGAAAGATAGCTGGCTATTAAAAAAGAAATCATGCTTTTTTCTCCTCTTAAATTGGACTTGGTATCAGTTGTCAACAATGTGAAGCCTTACGTCATCTCCCAGGTCGAAGTGGTAGGGAACCGAAAAGTCACCAAAATGTTGAACCAACCAACGCAGAGGTCAAGGGGCCCGCATTTAAGCTGACCACACACTTAAACAAGCTACTTCACTTTTAATCTTCCGGTTATAAAAACACGCCACTTAGGGATCACAAAGGGAACCGGTGACCTGAAGGTCACTTTTATTCCTGCCCAAATTCATTCCACATTTAGAAAAAAATTAGCGCCCAAAAATTATCTAAAAAGGAGCGGTTTTAAAATAAAGTGACCTATTTCCATTTCGAAAAAAGGAAAAACTAAGGAAATATCTGTTTTTTTCATTTAAATGAGACGACGATGGAGGAAGGGGAAAATGAATTGGCTCACTCTCGCGGGGCAATCGCCTCCTGTAATCCCCACCGTCTTTGCTTCGAGGCATTAGAAGGCAGGGGATTAAGTGAAAATTCTCCCTTTTTTTTCCGCCCTTTCTCTCTTTCTTAAAAAAGGAAAAAAAAATTTGCATTGCGAGAAGGACATTGAGGAATGCAGGACTGATTTTTGGGGCAAAAGAGAGGAGTTTCGGTGGTGAAAGACCTTTAAGAGGGGAGACCGTTAATAATTATTGAAGTGAGAGGATTGGAATTTACTTCCACAAGACTGCGAGGAGAATCACTCTGCTCATTTGCATCCATTTTCTATCTATACATCCCCTCGTCCTCTATCCATGCATCCATCCATCCTGCATCCATCCATCCATCCATTCATCCTGTATCCATCCATTC